AATCATTTTTTTTTTGATCTTTTTCTTGATGTAGTCCTCTTTTATTTGTACAAAAAAATAATGAATAATTATAAAGTTTTAAACAAAATTACAATTAATAATCTTCTTACTATGGTTCTGAATATTTTTTTTGATCAACAATTTCAGGAGCCAATCTCCATCACCACAATATGTGTCAGGATTTTTTTATAAGACTATCGATTAAAAAGAAAATTGTATTATACACTGAAATAATATATATTATATTATTACCCTTTTAATTATTTTTGAAATGAAAATATTACGATCTTGCTCTCCTACTAATGTTACTAATGTTGATTTTTTCATATTTATTAAGAATCGAATTTGCTCCTATATTAGGGAGTAAACTTGAATTAAATAATACTCAAATAGTATTGCATTTATATATTTATATTATTTATTACTTGATAACTTTTATATTGTCCTTTTGTGATGTTGAAGATTCTACACACATCTGCAACTAACAACCTTCTGGATTTTTTGGCTTATAAATAGGCAATTGGTTTTGTTTCTTATATTTATGATATAATGTAAAGATAAAAATTAGTAAAAAGCAATAAAAAACTTTACAAGTTATCAATGTATAAACTCACAATTATTGACAATTCTTTTTCGCGTTCCTCTAACAACCTTGTAAGGCGTTGATTGATTGAACTAAGTTTTACTGTAGACATTGTATTTTATTTTATTAAATGAATTTTGTTATGACAACGAAATTTGGGAATTTTAATCAACAGATGATCAACCAGTTAGAAATCATTCATTGTTTTTAAAAATAAATTTTAAAAAACAACAATGCGAAGTAATATTTAAAATCGTTACAAGATAATGTAAATAATAATAATTAATGATAATAATAATTAATAATAATTAACAATAACAACTAATAACAATAATAACTAATAGTAATAATAGTAATTGATCAATCATTCAACCATCAACATAGAAATCATTCATTGTTTTTAAAAATAAATTTTAAAAAACAACAATGTGAAGTATATATTTGTAATATTTAAATCGTTGCAAGGTAATGTAAATAATAATAGTTAATGATAATAATAATTAACAATAACAACTAATAACAATAATAACTGATAATAATAATAGTAATTGATCAATCATTTAATATAAATCAACATTAGTAACACTATAGTAGGAAAGCAAGATTATAATATTTTCATTTCAAAAATAATTAAAAAGGTAATGATACAATATATATTATTTTTTCATTATTGTTAAAAAGAAATTTTAAAAAACAACAACATGAAGTATATATTTGTAATATTTAAAATCATTGCAAGGTAATGTAAATAATAATAATTAATGATAATAATAATTAATAATAATTAACAATAACAACAACAATAATAACTAATAAAAATAATAACTAATCATAATAATAGTAATTGATCATTTAATATTCAATCATCAACAAGCAAACTCTCTCACATATTATATACAAAATGCAATTAAATAATAATAATGGTGAAGATAATAGTAATGAAAATAATAGCATTAACAGAATAATGGATGATTTTATGACCATGTTAATGGTCACTACAACCCAAAATATGCTAACAATATTATTGAATATCACTAACACTAATGCTAGATCTACATCTACATCTACATCTACTAATACTAATGATCACACTAGTCTGCCTATTGCAGCATGCTTAGAATCTGCAAACAACATCAAAGTTTCTCAAATAATAGTAATAGTAAGAAAATTTTAATTTATTATTTGGAAATTCATTTCTACAAATTATTTATTTTATGAATAAAATTTATAGGGAAAATTTATGTGAAAAAAAAGAAAGATCAAAAAATAAGTGTAAGAAATTAAATTATTCATTTTTAAAATATTGTTAGTGACTTCATTAATATTGCATATTTTTTTTGTTGAAGGCTTTTTTTGAGAAATTAAGGATATTTTATTCCAATTATTTAATTACAAAAAATTATATAAATGTATTCATGAATGCAACTGTTTTTTTTTGTGCATACATTTGTGTTTGCATATATTATTATTAATAAAATAAAATTACAATTAAAATAAGACATGTTGCTCAGTAAATTCAAAATACAAAATTCAAATTTGTACCCAATCCCATACTAATCATATCCCAATTCACATTCCAATTTCATTAATATTAATATACAAATTCATATACAATTCCGTACTAATTCTGTAATGATTTTCCGTGAATATTCTGGTTTTTCATGTCATATTCCGTGCATATTCTGCGCATATTCATAACATATTCCCAACATATTTCCTTGATTTTATGTATGGAAAAGTGCTCTTTTATGGCAAAATCCCATACCTTTTCTGGATAGCAATTATAATGGAATTACCTGTACATTTTCCATGCTTTTTCCATACATTTTCCATGCATAATTTTTTATAGTAACAAAGGCAATATATTAAATAAATAAAAACACAAATTTTTCTTTCGGGAGAGCATG